CCAAATGGATCTAACAGATATCTACAGAACTTTCAATCCTACACTTAAAGAATTTACATTCTTCTCAGCAGTGCATGGAACCTACTCTAGGACTGACCACATACTAGAACATAAAATGTTTAAATTATATTTTTATTTATGTGAGAGATGGAAACTGATGGAGGTCCCATCCTCTGGTGCACTTCCCAAATGCTCACAATAGCAGAAAGGAGTCAGGCCAAAGCAAGAAGCCTAGAACTCAACCCAAGTCTTCCATATGGGTGGCAGAATCCCAATTACTTAAGCCATTGCAGCTGTCTTCCAGAGTTTGCACTGGTGTGAAGCTGGAATCAGGAGTCAGAGACAAGAATCAAACTCATCCACTCATCATATGTGAGATATAGGTACTCTAACCACTATGCTAAATACTTGGTCCCTATAAAGCAATTTTTTTAACTTTTATTTAATGAATATAAATTTCCAAAGTACAGCTTATGGATTACAATGGCTTCCCCCCCATAACATCCCTCCTACCCGCAACCCTCCCCTTTCCCACTCCCTTTCTCCTTCCATTCAAATCAAGATTCATTTTCGATTCTCTTTATATACAGAAGATCAGTTGAGCATACATTAAGTAAAGATTTCAACAGTTTGCTCCCACACAGAAACATAAAGTGAAAAATACTGTTTGAGTACTAGTTATAGCTCAAATGCTTGGGTCTCTCCCACCCACTTAGGACACTGACATTGAGTTCTGGATCCTGGTTTGGGCAGGTCCCAGGCTTGACTGTTGGGGCGATTTTTGGGGGAGTTAACCAGCAGATGGAAAATCTCTGTCTCTCTATGTCTCTTTCTCTCTCTGCCTCTCAGGATTTCGAATACAATTTTAAAATAGAAATAAAAATTTACTAAATAAAAACAGAAAACCTTAAATTTTATTATATATTGATTATAAAACATATATTATATATATATATATATGTTTTGTGTATGTATATATACATATCCAGTAACACATAGTTATGTTTAGGGTAAAAATATGAACTTTTAGTTTATTTTAGAATTTGTTATGATAGGCCTGCACCGTGGCTCACTTGGCTAATCCTCCGCCTGCGGTGCCGGCACCCCAGGTTCTAGTCCCGATTGGGGTGCCGGATTCTGGATTCTGTCCTGGTTGCTCCTCTTCCAGTACAGCTGTCTGCTGTGGCCTGGGAAGGCAATAGAGGATGGCCCATGTGCTTAGGCCCTACACCCGCATGGGAGACCAGTAGGAGGTGCCTGGCTCCTGGCTTCAGATCAGTGCAGCATGCTGGCCGTAGCGGCCAATTAGGGGGTGAACCAAGGGAAGGAAGACCTTGCTCTCTGTTTCTCTCTCTCTCTCTCTCTCTCTCTCTCTCTCTCTCTGTCTCTCTCTTACTGTCTAACTCTGCCTTTCCAAAAAAAAAAAAAAAGAATTTGTTATGATAAAAGCACTGCAGAATATCCACTAAATAAAATGTAAGGCACTCATATTTCATTACATACATTCTCATTCCCTATACTGTAAGGAAAAAATTGTAAATAAAGGGTGACTTCTTAATTAACTGTGTAGTATTTATTTATAACAGAAGAAGATATAAAACACCTATCTTTTATTGAGGACTTTTGTTGAAGACATCGTATGTACCAAAGCATCTATGAGGTGTCAGAACACAGGAATATGACCGAAATTAAAGCCTCCAGGATTTATAGTAAGAAGGCAGACACACATACAGATAGTTATAATACGATGTTGAAATTGGGTCAGAGATACAGATGTTATGCCAAGGTCTATAAAACACTGTTCCAGCCCAAGGAACTTAAAATTCTAACTACCAAGTGAAACTCATTAAAAACAAAACTCAGTGTTAACTTCTCTAAAACTTGATATTTATGGTAACTAAACTTTAAATGTGATGTAATCATCTAATTGCAGAGTCTCTGTATTTTTGTTTAGGCATGTGTGTGTGTGTAGATACACGATGAAACGAATGCAAGTGAAAGACAGAAGAAAGATGATATTTTTGTCATGTGTTTTGCACTCTAAAAGTTCCCTAATAAACATCTGACAATGAGTCCAGGCTTAAAGGATCTCTTTGCCAAATACCAGTGGGCAGGACAACTGACCCACACATCAGGACTTTATAGACCTCTGTTACATGTACTCTCAGACAGAAAGCAGACACCTCACCATCTGCTTTGCTTCATGCTGATCACTCTCTTTCTAGGTTAGATAACATCCACAGAAACCATAAACAGATCATATATTCCATGATAATTACCCTTTTTAAAGGTAATAGAACAAGAAATCTATTTTCCTATATCACTGACTCCAGTGAGTTTAAAATTCAAATGATAAACAAATATCTGTTCAATGAAGAAATTAAAGCAAATTTTGAGCATGCACTGAAGGAATCTGGGATAGACTTCCATACAGCTTTCCTGAAATTGTCTTTATAACACAATACTACATAGGTCAAAGGTCAGATTGTTTAAACAATATATATTCTAAAACAGATAGTCTTCCACAGAGGCACTGTGGAAAAAGTCAGAATACATGGCATACTACAAAGGTTTCTGCTATGCCATAATATCAGTCCTCATTATTATAGTGGAATATTTTAGCTCAAAATGGAATTTTCATGGTGAAAATGCCAAGAAAATGCATGATGATGAACTCCATATTTGCCAAATAATATTTTAAGAATGATGCCCTGAACTATTTAACTCTAAAAGCAAATATTGAAGGCTTTACAGTCCGTTCACTTGGAAACCATTTTGTGAGTTGGTGTCTTGTCTTACGTACTTCCCTACACATTCTTTTTAACTTCAAAGGTGTCTCAGATCGTGATTATTAATCACACAGTGAAGGATTTTGGTCACAGAACTATATTGCTTCTTTTGTTTTACAAGGTCTTCAATCTTCACTTCCCTATAATCATACAAGTACAGTGTTAAGATCCTATAACAAAAATACTTGGTGATGAATTCACTTGATGCTGAGAATTCAAGGCCATCAAATATGTCTATTCTGCTGCCAGTCTCATATCTAGCAAGAATTTAAGATTTACTATGCTTTTTGACTCCTTGCAGAAAACCATATTAAGACAACAACAAGCCCCCTGGAAGAAACTGATCCTTAACATTGTGACATGATGTGCCCTTACACTAAATGGAAAAAGAAAAACAATTCTTGCATATTCCCTTCATTCCTCTCCAGTTACAAATCTATAGCTTTGACTTTGCCTTCATAGACAAATTTCCAGAAAGGTTCGACTATAACTTTTGTTTAAGATGTATTTATTTATTTGAAAGCAGAGATACAGAGAGAAGGAGAGAGAGAGAGAGAGAGAGAGAGAGAGAGAGAGAGAGAATCTTCCACTTGCTGGTTCACTCCCTAAATGGCTCCAATGGCTATAGCAGGGCCAATCCACAGCCAGGAGTCAGGGGCTTTACTTGGGCCATCTTCCACTGCTTTCCCAGGCACATTAGCAGGGAGTAGGATAGGAAGTGGAGTAGCCAGGACTTAAACCGACATTACATGGGATGCTGTCACTGCAGGTGGAAAGTTAGCCTTCTTCTACTCCAAAATGCTGGCCCCTGTGTATAAGTTTTATATGAAGTGTGGTCTCTTGGTTTTCCTCTTGTCTGACCGTATTTTCTGTCCCTTTTGAAAGCATCTCACTTCCTGTCATTTAACTCATGATCCAAATCTAACTCCTCTTTCCATCCTATACTGTCTCAATTGCCAGCTGTACTCATGCTAAAGCCTCAATAACTGCACAGATAGCTTCTTAATTAGTATCTGCAGTTCTATTTCACCAGCTACTTAAGATCTCACAAATATGAACTTGTGATCTCATATTTGTATCTTCCCGTATTCCAATGCTATCTAGACTTAGACATCCTGTTTAAAATCAGAGTATGTCTAAAGGCTTTTGAAAAATGGAATTAAAACTTAGGTTTTGGTGCAAAAACTTTTGAAATACATTAATGGAAAAGGGTATTCAAAAACTCAATGATTATGCATGAATTTCAATTTTTCCCCTAAATTAATCTTTTAATTTCATTTTGTATGACCCTTTTGAAGTTGAACCTTTATGAAAGAGCTAGCAGGTAGTACACAGGGAGTGTGAAAAAGTCAAAGAGAACAGGATCTCCAGCATAGATAGGTTGCAACTGGCCTAAAACCAGAGAGGGAAATCCCTTTGCTATGGCAAGTGAGTCACGTTTGGTATCAGAAAAATGAAAAATGTTCCTAACAGCTCTTAATTTCATTTTTAGTTCAACATTAAGTCATCTACTGAAAGCGAAGAGAAAAACAGTTTGGTTGAAATTTTTATGAGAGCCCAGAGAAACATGATGGAATTATCATGGGATTTCAGAGTTCTCTGAGTATAATGATGACTAATTTATAATGAAAGCATTTGTCCTGTGGTTGCAACTCTCTTTAGCTAAGTTCAATTTCTATTGTAATGTGGTGGTGAAGGACAGATGTAAGCTTGCAATCCCTTATCCATGCTTCCAAAATCCCAAAGACATGAAAATCATTGCTTTGTTCAAATTCTTTTAACTACAAACCCATGACTTTGTATGAATTGATGTAGAGTATATATTTATTCAAATTTCTGCTAATATATTTAATATTTCAACATATACTGATTGTGTTAGCTTATAGGTTACTACCTACATTCTACCAGTGGAGTTGCATTTTTTTTTTTAATTTGAAACTGTGGATCAGTAAGCTTCAAGGTCTTTAGTAAGATTGCAGATTTGACGTAAGTATCCACTCAGAATCAGGTTTGGAATTCTACTGGAGCTTACTTATTCTTTAATCTTTGGCAACTCAACCTGGGGAATTACGTTATGTGGGTACTGATAAATAAAAATCAAACTATTGGGGCTGGCGCTGTGGTGTAGTGGGTAAAGCCACTGGCTGCGGCACTAGCATCTCATATAGGAGCTGCTTCGAGTCCTTCCTATCTTCTCCATTTCTGAACCAGCTCCCTGCCAATGAGCCTGGGAAGGCAGCAGAAGATGGCCCAAGTGCTAGGGTTCCTGCACCCATGTGGAAAACCTGGAAGAAGCTTCTGTCTCCTGATTTCAGATCGACCCAGCCCTGGCCATTGCGGCCATTTGCAGACTGAACCAGTGGATGGAAGAACTTGATCTCTTTCTCTGTGTTGCTCTCTATAACCCTGCATTTCAAATAAATATTCTTTTAAAAATTAAACTATTAAGTTGTACACATTAAGTTCTACCTGCTGTTAATTGTATGTGAAAATTAAGCCATCTTCTGATATATATCACAAGAGAATGTAACAAAAACTTTTATGGGAAAAGTTTTGAAAGTACTAATTTGACTCAATGAAATTACATGATTTTAAGAGGCTCTGATGTTCCCTTTTGTGTTCTTATTGAGAATGGATTCATATGATGGGAATGTATTAACTTTCATTTTAAACTGCTAACTTCCCATTCACATTAGTATTCCTGTATGAAATAACTAAGTAACTTAAAATCTGTCAAGATTTTTTTAGGTCAGAGAAAAGGCCTTACTGGATAGTTTTGGCTGAGGATCAGAAGGTAGCTGGACTTGGAGCAGTAAACCTGTAAATGTCTGTCTAAGTGGTCTCAGGCCTTCTCCATATGATCTCTCTGTGTGAGCTCTTTGAGCTTCGGCACAGAATGATGGCTCAAGTCTTTTGCCCAAGGGTCCCAACAAGCAAAGTGAAAGTAACCTTTCCAAACTACTTGGAGAATTTATACCACATGACTAATATCACATCCTATTTGTTCCAAGCAAGTCATAAACCTAATTAGTTTTAAAGGGAGGAGAATAATGCCACACCTTAATCCCTATCAGCTCATCCTATTTGAGAACAATGGGAGTTGTCATAGCCTTCAATGTTGCTGGCCCAAAGATCACACTTCATAGCCCTGTTTCTTTATCTTTCAGCAGGACTTTACATGATGAGTATTTCCAAAATCCAGTCTTCATTTCTCCCAAACCTAAAACTTCACCCCAAGAATTTGTATTAGTTTCCTGTATCTGTTGAAAAGAAGGAAAGAGAGAGAGGAAGAGAGAGAGAGAGAGAGAGAGAGAGAGAGAGAGAGAGGAATTAAGGAAAGAAGGAAGGAAGGAAGGAAGGACGGACACTTGGTAACTTAAAGCAAGAAATATTTTATCTCACAGTTATGGAGGCCAGAAATCCTCAAACAAGGACTCAGCAGGCCCTGCTCACTACTCCCCCTCTCCTAGAGGATAGGTGGGAGGTAGGGGTGGGAGGGGGCTCTGTGCCTTGTTTCCAGATTCTGATGGCTGTGAGCTTCCGGGTACATCACTCCAATCCCTCCATCTTCACAGGCTTTCTCTCTCTCTCTCTCTCTCTCTCTCTCTTTTTAACACCTACACTTGTCCGGATTTAAGGCCCATCTCAATAAGTCAGGATGATCTCTTCATTTCCTTTCATTTAAGTACATCCACAAAGACCAATTTTCCAAATAAAGTAAATTTTATAAGTTCTAGGCATTGAACATACACATATTTAGGGAGTTGGCACCATTCAAAGTAACTCACCATGCTTAACCTATTCCGTGGATTTAATTACCACGTACTTAGAAATTCATATCCCAACCTTATAGATACCTCTTCTGAGTCCTACATCTGCATATATCTATATCTATATCTATATATATACACATATATATACTTGCTCACTGTACATCTCTTTTCCATGTAGACAGGACCCTAACAAGTTTATCTAAATCTGCTCTTCAAGTATTTACTTTCTCAAAAATGGGAATTCATTCACCAATTATACAATTGTCCATAGATACTAGTTGTTTCATTCACAGCCTGTATTAATAAAAAGATGTCATAACTCCATTATTTGAGAACTATCTCACAGTGCTCCCCACTTCTAACTGTACACACTACCACAGCTCTGCCAACACCTGAAGTCATCAACAACATTGCAACTCCAGGGATGAAGTTATGAAATCTGGGTGTCATCTTCATCACTTACTCTCTGTACCTTCTGAAACATAGGTGTTGCCACTGCAACCAACAACAAGCACTCAAGCCTTTTACTTACATTGATGTTTACTGTTAATATTACCATTATCTATCACCTGGACAACCACAGTAGCCTCTAAGTGATCACTCATCTACCATCACTCCACTGTATGCCATTCCACTTCACAAAAATACAGTAAGTACACTTAAGTGTTCCTGTTACTCTAGTATTTCAAATCTTCCACTACTTTTAAGTGATCTCATGATAATATGTAAAATCCATCTTTATAACTTTACTTTTGTGACCACTCTTTAGCTCTCCAGGCTCACACCCCAGCATGTCCCTGCTTGCTTTCAACATGACTTCCTTCTTTCTACTAGGCCTCTGTGAGTTCTTGCTTATCTGCAACATTTTGCTCTTAATGTCATAATGATCAAAACTCTGATGAAGATTCCACCATACCGTATTGGAGTGCATGTATTAATTCCTAACTCTGCTCCTGATACCAGCTCCCTGGTAATGGGCAACCTGCGATGCAGCAGGAGATGGCTCAAGTATTTGGGTCCTTGCCACTGATGTGGGAGACCAGACAGTACATTGATCTCATGGATTATAGCCTCCAAAACCATAAGATAATAAATTTGTGTTGTTTTAAATTACTAAATTTAATTACTAAATTTAAAACAATTAGTATTTTAATAATTTGTGACAGCAACAATAAAAAATACAAAAATTAAATTACTAAATTTAAAACAGTAATTTAATAATTTGTGACAAAAAATAAAAAATACAAAGGGATTAAGGAGTTTTCTCTTTTTAAAATGGCTTATTCTCCAATAAATAAAAAGAACCAGAATGGCATTATATTCTTAGAATTGTAACTATGAACTTTATTGAATCTGTTAAAAATAAAAAAATTTAAAAATAATACATAATGTGTTACAAATTGTGATTTAATGCTATAACTAGTACTCAAACAGTATTTTTCACTTTGTGTTTCTATGTGGGTGCAAACTGTTGAAATCTTTACTTAATATATACTAAACTGATCTTCTGTATATAAAGAGAATTGAAAATGAATCTTGATGTGAATGGAAGGGGAGAGGGAGCAGGAAGGGGGAGGGTTGCGGGTGGGAGGGAAGTTATGGGGGGGGAGCCATTGTAATCCATAAGCTGTACTTTGGAAATTTATGTTAATTAAATAAAAGTTAAAAACAAAGTAATACATAATCTTGAGAGAGAGAGAGAGAGAGGGAGAGGGAAATTGAAACTAAAACTAGGGTGAGGTCCTTAGGTAATCGGAAGAGCTACCTTAGTACTTAGGTATACTCATGGAATCCTTGAGCTCTTGTGAGAGTGACGTTTTACACCTGAATCTTTCTTGGGCTTCCTGTTTTGTGATGTAACCTCTTCCTCCCACAGGTGCTCCTCCCATTGTGATGATATCCATCACAAAGTGCTCACCAGAATCCAGCCAGTGCTGCTGCATTGCCCTTGAATCTCCAGAAATATAAGTCAAAGAAGCCTCTCTTCTTTAAAACTTTTTTTTAAAGTTTATTTAGTCATTCATTTGAAAGATAGAAAAACAGAGAGAGACCAAGAAATCTCCTATTTGTTGATTCTACCCCCAAATACCTGCAACAGCTAGAGTGGACCACAATGAAGTGAGGAGGCAGGAGCATCATTTGGGTCTCCCGTGACCCAAGTACTAGTCCCATCATCTACTACTTTCTAGAGTGTACATTAGTGGAAAGCTGAATTGGAAGCAGAGGCAAGCTTCAAATGAAGCTCTTGGATGGAGGATGTGGACATCCCAATCTCTCTATAGATGCGCTGCAAGGTCCACCCTTTCTCAGTGACTTCATTTTCACAGTGAGGGAGCAGCTGCAACTCAAGCATCTTTGATGTCAACTTCCATCATGCTTCTCGTCTTAGTGTAGAGGAAATCACATTCAGAGACCAATCCACATTTGTAAAAGAGAAGAGATTCAAACTACTCAACTGGAACAATGAATTTTCAACAGTGAAATAAAGGTTAAGAATGAACTAAAATATTTTAAAATGATAAATAACTAATTGTTCCTAAATGCAGATAGAAAAACTCTATCAAATTTTATTAAGCTAAACTTCTGGCTAGATGTCCCTTCTTTTGTTGTGGATCCAAATTTGATCACTCTCCAAGCCTTTTTCTACTGGCTTCTCTTGGAGTTGGCCTATTTCCAGAGCAGATGAAAATTATAGTTTCCCAAATCTGTATGACTTGTTACAAAACACATCTTCTTTTACACAAAAAGGTGAAAGTTTACTCAAACTCTGTTAGTTCATGGTTATCTTCAAATTGACATAAATTTTAGAATTTTTTTTTACTAAATGTTGAATATCGTTTTATTTTTATTGCTAAATTCTAGCTTATAAAGGAACTGTTCAATTCATAATTGATTTATTTATGAGATAAATATTATATTTTCAGAGATATAACAGCCCAACAAAACAGATATATATATATATATATAAACATGTTTTTCATAATAAAGATATTCACCTCATTTTGAATTTCTAATATATAAAGTTGTGTTACTTTACAAGCACTGGTATTTCTACAAACCATGTTAGAACTTTATGACTAAGATGCTTTCCCAGATTTTATAGAGGGAAATGAATCCAATGTATCATCCCTGTTTTGTAAGAGTTTGGATATAAAATTGATATATGGGGAGAAATTATGAATAATAAAGCAAATCATTGGATCTAACACATCCCTAAAAGCACTATACTCCCTCTTCAAGCCACCCTCCATATTACTGCTACAGAAAGTCATAATGACCAAAATGTCATGACAAATAATAATTATATTTTTCTCCCTATCTTTTTTGGAAGTCAGGCAAGGCTTCCTTGAGCACTTGGAGCTCATAGTGCTGGGAAGGGTTGTGAGTCCAGGAATTTGGAAGGCAGACAAAGGCAATAAGCGTGCATCTACGTGAGTGACTTTCTCAGGAGTCCTTGTGTCAGGAGAAATGGATCTGAGACTAAACAGTTGGGTGAAGGTCGGTGTCTCAGTCCATTTTCTTTTGCTATTCTAAAACTTCACAGATTGGGTAACATAAAAAAAGCCAATTTATTTCTTACTTTTCTGGAGGATGGCAAGTTCAAGAGCAAGATGGCCTTCTTGCTGTGTCATACCATGGCAGACAGGTCATCAAGCATACAGAAGACAGAGGAAAAATAAGCAATCTCA